TCTGCTTTTTATATTTTATATATGTATTCTCTGTAGCTACCAGCTGTTCCTTTTAAAGACAATTATTAGATCTACCTATAGAAGTAACAACCTTTTAATTTGCTATAATCTTGAATATTAGATAATCTAAGTTTTTATGACTGTGTGTAAGATAAAAGGAAGGATATAAGGATTCTTCTATGTGTACAATTAGCACATGTACACGCATCAGTCAGGAAAGACCGTGCTATGGTAACAAATAATCTACATATCTGAGTGGATTATAAACAAACAGAGACGATTATGAGTTGATAGGGGTTTCTGCCCTATGTTACCCTCACTCAGAGACCCAGAGTAATGCCATCTCCACTCTCTGGTTCAATCACCGCTGTCATACAGGGGGAAGGAAGTTTAGCAAATCATGCTCAGTCAGGTCTTGAAGCTTTTGACTGGAAGTGGCACGTGTTACTCCCATTTATATTTCCTTGGACAAAGCAAATCATATGGCCATGTCTAACTTTCAAGCAATTAGGGAAGTGCAATCCTACCATGTGCTCTGAAGGAGAACTGGAAATCTTGGTGAGTAGCACTAATGACTATTTTGGTGTGATTCACAAATTAAGAGCAGGGGAGTGTTAAAGGTTTTCCTGCTCTGGTTCTGAAGCACTCGTCCAAGGGGTAAACGGTCCCTTTCATCTTATTCTGAAGTCGTGACAAAGATACTATGTGGACTAGGAAATGTAAGCAAGAAAAAGATGCTAAGGAAATTGGGGTAACAATCGCTACAAGATTCCCAGAAAGCTGCTCTTTCTGCTTCTAAAACCACTGAGGTCTTCCCTCTATCACAGCAGTGAGAGAAGTTAGAATTGTTGTCAAATAGTGGTTTCAGAATTATGCAAACATAACATCAATCTTACACATGGGCTTTGCAATATCTATTTTGGCTGTTCAGAGACGTTTTTTCCCCTTTTTGCTTACTTCCCGGTTCTCAGTTGTGTAATGTGTTACCGTCTTTGTTTGTTAGTGAAGTGTTTAGGCAGAGAAAAATGGCCAGATAGAACAAGGATAAAAATAAAGAATAACAGCCACCAAAATTGCAGCAGCACATTTCTATTCACCTGTATCTAAAAATAGAGCTGTTGAGTAAATGCACAGAGAATTTAAAAGCCCTGTTGAAGCTAGCCCGGGAGCATTCAATAAAGGACTAGATTCCAATATGACATGAGAACCCAGAGAGATCAGTTTTAGAAGTCATGTAAGACTTGGGGCAAGCCTGAGACCTTGGCCCTGCCCAGAGGTCTATTGCCACTCTTACTGACCAATCCCTGCCATTTCATCAACCCACATGCATGTGCCCACTGCAGAACCTCCCACTGCGTGCCTTCAGTAGGCACAGTTGTGCTGAGACACTGATGTCTCTTGGGAAGCAACCCGAAGTCTGGGGACGCCAGAGGCCTTGAACAGTCACATCCATCAGCGAGCTGTACACATGTCATCATTTCCTGTGCTCATCTTGTTGGGAAACACTAACCCATACCGTTGTTTTTGCCTCTTTTCAACCACTTCCAGTAGTGTTGACTAGACCTTATCTGAGTTTTATGAATTTACTCATCCCTCCAATAAAGGAAATGTCCTTCACACGGAAATGTTGGGCTCCTACATTCAGCTGTCCCTTCCGGCTCTCGTCTGTGTCTCAGCCAGCCCCTGTCAGCCCCCCAATCACCCGGGACATAGAATTCAGCTTCTTCACCGTTTTCCACAAGAGAACCTACAAATCATCTCTGCTGAGGATTTGAAGCATCCAGGGAAGGGTTCAGCATCTTGGATTGCTCAAAGTGAGCACTCTTTATTTAGCATCTTTTTTCTGTGGCCCCTCCTTTACCATGTTACACTGTCCTCAGGGTGAGGGTGGAATTTCTCCCTCTCCAATTCCCAAATCCAAATTCCCCATCCTTTATCAAACAGAACAAACATTTCAAAAAACAATTACTAATGAGCAGTCCCTTGCAGTTTAATCCTCTACTCTAAGCTATTATCAAGCTCTTTCGTTTTTAACAAATTCCCCGAGAAGAATTCTGGTGAATATAATCAGCTTAATCTTATTAGATTCACGCATTTTTGATCATGAAGGGATCTTTTGAGATTATTTCCTGATTGTTCTTGGCTTTATGATGTGTTTCTTGGCCTATGAAGTGCTCCTGCATTGAAAAAAATCAAAACAAAAAACATGCATGTGTCATGTGAAAAATGTCCACCAGAGGAAGCCCACAGACTTCAGCTGTAATTTGAGAATTCAGCTCCAGCTTCAGACCCTCCCAATATTTATAAGTGAAATTCTCAGGAATGCAGTGTTATGTGAAATATACATTAAGAAAGGATTAAATAGGGGCTGGCCTGGTGGTGTGGTGGTTAAGCGCGCGCGCTCCGCTTTGGCGGCCCAGGGTTTGCAGATTTGGATCCTAGGTGCGCACCAACGCACCGCTCATCAAGCCATGCTGTGGCGGCGTCCCATATAAAGTGGAGGAAGATGGGCATGGATATTAGTCCAGGGCCTGTCTTCCTCAGCAAGAAAGAGGAGGATTGGCAGATGTTAGCTCAGGGCTAGACATCCTCACACACACAAAAAAGGATCAAATATATTACTATGATTGTTATCACGTTGAAACGTAAAGTTGAATTTGGTAAAAAAAAAAAAAAAATAGAGAGACTGAGAGAGAGGGAGAGAGAGAAATTGCTGATGTAAAATTTGCAGCTGTTGTTTCCATCCATTTCATAACAGCCTAGGAAAGAAAGTTTTAAAAAAGTTATTTAAAACATCTAAGGTGACTGAATTTTATCGACTGATTTGATTGCAAATGTTAGCCAGGCTATTCCTTAAACCTTCATCTCTTGGTGGAAAGCACTTTCTCTGGAGATTTAACAAATGTGGGATGTTTTCCTTCTCCACTGCCCACGTCCTTTCCAACTCCCACCCTCCACCCCTCTTCCTTAGCCCCAAGACAACACACCCACTGACTGCTCTCAACACTAAGGACTGGAATTAGGGCAGAGAATATGAATAACAAGAATGGAAGAAATAAAATTGCATACTAAATTCCTACTATGACACCAGGGATCCTCACAGCTGAATTTGCGTTTCATAGAATCCATAGGTTATTCTTCATTGTCAAAATGCAGCATAATTTTGAAAAAAAAAATCTTTGAACGAGTAAAGAGATATAAGAATAAAATACGAGTTTTATTCTTGAATATAAAGAACTATCTGGCATCTGAAACTGGGTGAGACTGGTTTGGGCCTGCTGCTGTTTGACTCTGATTTTAGCCAAGAAAAGACAAGGTCCAAGGTTAAACAGCATCGATATTATTCCTGTATGTTTCTTCGCTCTTTATAGTGGAGAAAAATAGGTGGAAGCTGTTGCTGGTTCCCTCTTTTAAGTCTTTATTTGTCTTCCACTTCTTTCCAGGTATATGAATTAATTTGATGAAAAGAGTTGGTTTCAGGCTCCCATTGTTCTTCAGCAGCCATCAACAAAAGCGTCAACGAGTGCCCTCACACACGGCATGACTGAATAAACAATATCTGCCCCCGGGAGTACCAGCCTTAGACGGAGGGGATAAGGGGATACATCTATTAATTAAGTGACTATGGCCAACGGTCAGTAGATGTATTTGGGGCTGCACAAAGCAGCAGTGATGAATATATCCCATTGTTGTTGCCCAATTACAAGTCAGAGATTTTCAAAGAGCATCACTGGCTATGATGAGATATCACCTAGAGAGCTCAGGGGCTAATAATTAATTCATCCCATTAAGCTAGGTGAAGTAAGCCAGACAGAGAAAGACAAATACCATATGGTGTCACTTACAGGTAGAATCTCAAAATAAATAAATAAAAGTCAAACTCGTAGAGAAAGAGAGTTAAAAGTGGTTGCCGGGGGCTGGGGGATGAGGGAAATAGAGAGAAGTAAAAGAGTGTAAACTTTCAGCCATAAGATGAGTAAGATCTGAGGATCCAATGTCTATCACAGACTATAGTTGATAGTACTGTACTGTACAACTGAAATTTGCTAACAGAGTAGATCTGAAGTGTTCTCACACAAACACAAAAAAAGATAAATATATGAGGTGATGGATGTGTTAATTAGATTGTGGGAATCCTTTCCCAACGTATATGTATATCAAATCATCACCTACACTTCAAATATCGTACAATTTTATTTGTCAATTATACCTCAATAATGCTGGAAAAAAACAACAACAACCAAAAAATGCATGCCAGGAAAAAAATTCTAAACGTTCTTTACTTTAAGGATACTTAGATACTAAAGTCTATATAAATAAAAGAGATGAACAAGGAAATGATTATTTTTATTGCAGGAGATTCTTTCACTTTTCAAAAAGGGTATTTTCTATGGGTCTTAAAAATAAAAACATTCATAAAACTTGATTTGTGCATGTTTTAAGGAATATAAGTACTATTAAAGAAGTGATACAGTGTAAATATTTTTATATTATTAATATTATATTCCTTTTGAACCACTATATCTGGCCCAGTTCTAAGCACGCTGGAGTACATCATGGATATTGAGTTGATTGACACTGAGCCCCAGCTGCTGAAGCACGGAAGACCTTGAGGATACGTATGTGCCTACATCCTATGACAATTTAGATCCTTAACCAAATGTGCTTCAGTTTGTTTGTCTTAGAGGGTGCAGAGGAGGGTCTTAGGAAATCCAGGGAGTCCAGAGATTGGAGGACATCAGAACACAGGGGAAAGGGAGATTCCCCCCCACCTTGAAATTGTTCTCCTATTTGATGTATCTATTTTTTTTTTACATTATGCATAAACTAATTTAAAAAATACTAGAAAATACATAGTGATGGTTAAAATTATTCAATCAGCATAGGAGTGTATAAAGCAAACATGAAAACTCTCCTTTGCCACGTGGGACACCCCAAGCGCACATCCCTGAGACAGCCACTCAGCTTCCCAGAAGAGTCACAGATGCGCCGCAGGTTACTGCTCTCAGCACAAGAGCACCTGGGGCTCCCAAATCGTAGCTTTTCTGAGGGCACCTGACCAGGGTGGGGGCTGACGCAAGCCCAGTGGTGTGGCATAATGCCAGCGTGATGTGATGGGGAAGGAGCAGGAGGGGCAGGCGTGGCTGGTGCTCTGCTCTCTGGGCATCTGCTTCTGCAGGCTGGCCACAAAATCCCTGGTGGGCACAGTGCGGGAGCTGGAGCTGGCGTTCTAGACGCCCAGAGGGCCTGATGCAGGACACACAGAGCAGCTTGGGGGGCAGGTGGGAAGTGGGCAAAGGCTTTTGGCTTGGGCAGTGGCCCCCGATTTTTGTGTCCATGTATATTATTATTATTATGTTAAATTTAGGACATGAGAGTTTAATTACCTTCTCTACCTTCTAGATGGAAATATATGGTAAGGGGATGGAAACAAGGGTCATAAACTTAGGAGAGAGGCAGGCATTTTTAGACCAGTTTAAGTTTAGATATTCCCCAGTTTGGACAATTTTTAAACATTTAACATAAGACTTTTTACCACAATAAACAATATAACGTATTAAAACTGACTTCCAAAATTGTCCAAATTATTTTTTAAACTTGATTTCATTTTTTCCACATTTCTTTGTCAAGTTTTCTTTGTCAAATTTACCCCAAATACCAAATTTTCATTTTTGAACTTAGTTTATATTTACATAACACAGTGCCCTAAATTGATGTTCACCAGGATACCTTTCTCTAACCCCTAGAGGTTTTTTTCTTCCCTTTAAAATGTATTTTAATTAAGTTGTCATTCTCAAAGATATTCTGGATATAAAATTATGAATTAAACACCTATAAATTCTTCTTCATTTCTGTTATAGTGTGACAATTTATCATCTAACCCACAGCAGTCTATCGACTGAGTAAGGCTGGGTTTCTTGTTCTCCTCAGCCATAGCTGACTGCAACTCATAAAGTGACAGGTGGCTACAGCTTCTCTACTTCTGTATGAACAACTGTGACTGAGACAGGTCATTCTTTGATCCGTACGTTTTGACTAGTTTTAGCCTCCGGAGAAGGTCTTCTTTCTCCTGAACCTGCTTCATCAATTTTGCTTTTTCTTCATATATTCCTTGTTTGGGAAAATTCTCATTCACAAAATCATTTTGGAGACCACTGCATGACCCAGTATTACGTGATTGAGATTCACATGTAATGATATTCTTGAAGGTATTTTTCAAATATATTGTGAAAATGAATAAAGGAAACCTAATCCAAAATGGAGTTGGGCAGCAATGAAAGGAGAGCTCTCCTGCACATACCTGACAGTAATCTTTGTTGTAGATTACTTTACATAACTCAGCTGGAAGAAGGTAGATTTTCTCCTTGCCCAGCAACAACCTATCCAATGAGAAGCTGCCACAACCCTGAACTCTGGCGAGCTTTTGTTCAAAACACCCCTCCCAACCACCCCCTTTTCTCTATAGAGCAAGCCCCTCTCCTTTGTTCTTCGGACTTGCCTGTGGTTCGCCACAGTTTGCATGTCCCAAACTGCAATTCCTCTGCTATTCCTGAATAAATTCATTTTGCTGATTAAATAACTGGCTATTTTATTTTTAAGGTTGACAATGTCCATTCTTCAAATTCACTGTCTATGTGTTTAACATTTTTTGAAACTTAAACAGTTTTCTTCTGTTGAACATGCTGGTTTCTCTGAAAGATTCTGATCGTTTCCTTCATTCCCTAAGACATTTTACCACATTGTATCAAGAATTAAATGATGATCTTGTTTTCCTTAATTGCTCTCTAAATGTGGCACTCATAGGTTGTTTTCTTGAACTATTATTTGGGGAGATGGCAGATTGGCACAGGCCTGTGGAATGCTGAGTAAAGTCACAGCTGAGTCCAGTGGATTTTCCATCTTGAAAATGAAATCTTGGTTTACCTCATGGAAACAGAGCTTTACTCGACTCCTTGCACCCTCTCCCCCAGAAGTCCAGCTCTTAGACATCCACTCCCGGGCAGCCATTCCAGGGGCGGGGTCTTGAGGAGGTTCTTTCCAAATACTGCATAGATTTTATAAATGCATAAAGATACATGCACCCCTGTGTTCATTGCAGCGTTATTCACAATAGCCAAGACTTGGAAGCAACCTAAGTGCCCATCAAGGGACGAATGGATAAAGAA